TCCGATCAGTCTCACCATTATCATCGCTAAGCTCCTGGAGCGTATTCTGCGAGACACAAAAGCGCGCACCTTCTTCAAATCGGTTTCTTTTGCAACGCCCAACACGGTTCATCAAAGGCAGATCTTGTCCAACAAATCTGTTATGTTTCCTAGACGTAGTAACACAGAAATAAGATGAGGGAACGGAAGTCAAAGTGTGCTGCCTTGACTTCCAGAAAGCATTGGACTCAGTTAAGCACATGTTGTTAGATTTCAACCTCCGAGAAACTGGGCGTAATCCGAAAGTCTGTAATTGGCTTAGAGTGTTCTAGTCCGGGTAGACCTACAGGGTTCGTGTACGGGGATGTCTGTCGGAAGTGGGTTCCCCCACGAGCGGGGTCCCACAAGGATGCATCCTAGCTCCTCTTCTGTTTCTAGTGTATGTCAACGACATAACATCAGGTTTGGAGAACCTCTCCTTTTTGTACGCGGATGACATCAAATTAGTTGGAAACCCGGACGTCAGATACTCCTTGCAGAGTGGTATCTGAAAGATATGCGAGTGGTTGCAAAAATGGGACCCCCCACTCAACGCATTGAAGAGTTTTCTGCTAGCTAAAATAACGCATCCTGTCCCTCGTCAGATCCTCACTACGGCCGGAGCATACGCAACCCTAGCTTACAAATCAGAGGCAACGGTCCTTGGATAAAAGTCTCCAGCACCTTTTCCCCGTCCTCCACCGCTGTAGCAGCAGCCTTAAAAGCCAGACGAGCTCTCTTTAGACTCCGAACGGCAATCACCAACCGTTGTCCTAGTGCATTCATGCCCCTGTACACAGCCATAGTAAGACCTCACCTCAAGCACTGTGTTCAGGCTTGGGCACCGTATCAGTGGAAGGACATCAAAGTTTTTTTTAAGTTTATATTATTTTATTTTGTGCCATAAAATACAAAGGAAATTTTTTTGTTGACTGTTTTAAAAAAATATGACTGGTTGTTTTTTAGGTGATAATACATACATGAAGTCGATCAGAACAGAGATGACAAAAGTACAACAACAACAACAAACAGAAAAAGAAAACAGCAACTACGTTACGACAGCTGAACAGTCGAAAAAATCTACACTGTGACTTGTGAGGAGAGGGAGAAGGGGATAGGAAATTACTGAAGGAGACAGTGGCAACAACGCTTGGGTGAAATAAGTTGCACGGAAAGATAATGTGGTGAAATGAGGTGGGAGACACTGGCGCAATAGACTCGTGGCGCAATTAGTTGGTAGGGCGCGCAGTTAATAGGTGATTAAGGCATACGATGATAAAATACAGNAAGCTGATGTGAGAACGAGAAATAAATGGCAAATGTTAATAAGTCTTTCTTTAAAATGATGCAGAGAGAGAGACGGGTATGTGTTGTGGCAAACCGTTTGTGTGTATGAAACGCGACTGTAATAACTACGAATGCAAATAAGTATACAAGTG